AATGTAAGATGTTATCAGGAGGGTTGCATGTCTCAGTCAACATCAAAGAACAGGACCAGGATCCTGACCCAAATGAAGCCACCACCAAGATTCTGAGTCTGGTGTAAGCAGGATTTTCCTCTGGTCTTCAGTACCCAATGAGGCAGCCTGGCAAAAGTCATGTCCCCAAAACAAGAAAACAAAAAGCACAGACAGGACACTGAATCAGGCAGAGCAAGGGTTACAGCAGCAGGAATTCCCAAATACCTGAGTGGATGTGCTTATCCCAGGGCTCTACTGAGATTTATGCAATCTCATATTACACTTGCTTGGCACATTAATTTTTAGTGGGAATTTGGAAGAGGAGGGATTGCTAGCTGGTGAAAAGAAGCTGGAAGGCTGTGGTGGGTAGGGTGGGACCTGGGAGATGGTAGAGATGAATATACTCAATAGCACAGTTCAGCACAGTCTGGGTTGTGCAGCATTTATTCCCTAGCAACCAAAAGGCAAGGGGAAAACTCTCCCACTGCACTGGACCACAGCTCCCTATGGTTTCCTGAAGCCAACAGCCTGACTCCACTGCCCTGCAGAGCCACAAGTGACAGAAATTTGCAGTGCTATGAAGTCCCTTTCTTTCCCAAACACAAACTCAATGGTGTTTCTTTAAGAGACATTTTAACCTCCAGAAGGTTCATTTTAATGTATTAAGCTGTGTTTGGGTATGGTTTGAAGGACAGTCCCAGCAAGGCTTTTGCTAAAGCCAGGCACTGCTGCTCTAATGAATTGTTTTAAGCAGCAGGTATTTCTATTTATTCTGGCATCAAATAAAAACCCGCCCTGGAATATACAGAAACATTCAACATGAACCACTATGGAAAATGTTTTTAATGTGAGAATTCCTTTTCCACTCAGAGAAAACCAGCTAGTTTTTTCCCTTTCCTTGGGGATGAATTCTCTGTTGTGACACTGGCAAGGCACTGGAATCAATATGACACAGGGAGGAAGATTTAAATGAACAGTACAGGCAGTATGACCAGAATTGTCTCCTGCTATGGACAGGTCAGCCAGAGGTGGCAAATCACCAAGGAAAAGGTAAAAATGTGCAGTGTTTTGAGGTGTTTAACATGGAATAAAAAAGCCTACTTGGAGACACAGACCATAGATCCTCTTTTGCCAAACCTGGGCATATTTTGAAACACTTTATTGCGATAAACAGCCAGGAGATGGGAATGTTTTTCTCCAAACACTGATTCACTTGTGGAAAGAGTCTGGAAAACTATGTTTCTCAATCACCTCCACTCTCTGCTTGGTTTTCTCCAGGCAGCTATTCCTCCAGCTCAGCCTGCCCCTCTGCAGTACACACATTTATTCTGCTTTCTTTTCCCCAACATCAAGCCACAGAGGAGCACATGTGACTGCAGCAGAGGTAAAGTCATTTTTAACCAGGGCAATTTAAGGATATTTAAGACACATTCTCATTTTCCATTTCCCAATTCCACACTGCCCCCAATTTTATTATTAGCTGAATACAGGGAAGCTTCAGCTTGGATATGGGGTAACATGTACACTGAGGAATGAAGGCCAAGCTTTGCCTTGAAATATGCAGGATCATTCCTAACTAACCGTAAAGCTGCTTATTTGGCACTGGCAGTGGAAATATTGAACGAAAGGGGCATTCTCAATCTGCTTATGTCACAGAAAGGTTGGATTCTGACAGTGTGCAAGGCTCCAAGCTGCAGCCTGATATTAATAGCAAGACATTAAACTCGCAATTTGGCTGGCTCGGAGGCAGCTCCGTTGGAGCAGAGATTTTTCTGCAGGAAACGGCAGCTCTGGTTGGAGTCACAGCACGAGGGATGAGCCCAAAGCAGACTCAGGAATTTTGACTGGTGTGTGATGAGGCTGTGTCACACAAAGAGAACTTTCCTGCTCAAACTGAGGAGTGTATCCCACCGCAGAGGCTGTCGGAACACAACTGTTCCACAAAGGAATATTGTTTTCCTTCTGTCCACCTCCTTTGGAATCCATCCATTCCTAGGCCTAACTTACCCAAGCAAGTGGGACAATGAGCGTTAACAAACTGTTTCTCACACAAACATGGTTCTGTTCCATGGTGCAGACAGTGGGGTATCACCTCACCAAGACACACCTACACATTTTCCCCATTTTTGAGCTTGTTTTTGCCATTATGTAACCCTCCACACTACCCTGGCAGCTGGGCCAAGAAAATTTGAACCAAGTCCCCAGAGCAACTGGTTTCAGTGAGGGGCCCCTGCCAGAATACAAATACAAACCTCCTGTTGCTGTTTTCTTGCTGTGTCTGCATGGCAGGCAAAGATTCCAGACAGGTTTTTCAATATGGATCTTACAGAGCACAAATGAACACCTCTTATGAGCCATTTAAAGTTTGTAATCCCACTTCCCAACAGCTAGGCCTCAAGGCTTCTACCAGTTAAGTTTTGCTTCCTTATTTCTCACAATGTAAAGAAAATCAAGAATATTTGTCACTGAAAATAACATTACCTACAACACTCTGATTTCAGGACATATAGTCCAACAAATTCCTTAGAATCTCTTGAACATGATGAAGCAACATTAGATCCTGGACTTGTACTGCATCACACCCCTAAGAACCCCACACTCTTTACAGACCTCCCTAAGCCATGCAATCTCCTGTAGCTTTGCACTCAAAATCCTCATTTCACAGAGGAAGACAGAAGCATTCAGAATTCAAGTCACTTGCCAGATGTCACACAATGAGTCAGTGCCAGAGCTGGGAATAGAAATCAGGAGTCTAAGAGTTCAGATTCTCTGCCTTATATAGAGCAGCAGCCTCAGTCTCCTGGCTTAGGAGGGCAGCTACTCGCTGCATTTACAGGATGGCAGCATTGGCATTGCAAGGGCCAACCTCAGCCATAAGGGTGTAAAAACAAACATGCATCTGCTGAGAACACGTCCTTCATCTGTTCAGGTGTAAAGCAAGAAATAAAAGCAAGTTGCTGTTGTAGAGAACTTTGGGGGGTGCAACAACCTCAGCATAACCATTAAGACCAAACGCGATGTCACTCATTGGACTCACTTCTTGCTTCCACAGGCAGTGCTGCTGATTTGGAGAGGAATATCTGGGAGCTGCAGTGAGAAACGGGAATCTGGCAACAGCAGAAATGGTTGAAACACCGAGATAAACATTCCTAAGCCAGTATGGAGGATCAGTGGGCATCTGCCTGTCTCAATTGTTGCACTCATATTAAGCCCAAGTCAAAACCATGCCACACTGCTGCTCATATCACCCAGGTATGTGCACATGGCATGGAACTCTGCCTATTAAAAACCTATTTATTTACAACTGACACCTGCTTTTTTCAATCCTAACAAAGGAGGAAAAGTGGAGAATTTTTTTGAATGGTTAAAATTACCAACACTAATCACTGTCTCAAACCAGCTGCATGTCACAAAAGAATATTCATTAATTTATTCTTCCTCTGCCATGAAAAAGTGCAAATAGCACAACAAGGCCAAATGGGGCACAGAAGATACATAAGTGAAGTTTTAAGTGCTTTGCTGCCACATAATCAAACTGTCAGGGGAGAAGGTAGGAAAAGCAGGATTGAAGAGAGCAAAGAGGCCTGACTGGTTTTGTCCCATGAATATTCACCTAAATATTTTGGAAAACTATGCTAGAAAGAGCAAGGGAGTTTAATCTTCTTTGCAGTGATCTTCTACTTTCTCCACTGCAGCCACAGCCTGCAGCAAGCTGCAGTACAAGAAATAACTTGGGTATTGTAAGAACAGAAGTCATAAAAATATTTCCTTAGTCATGCCGTCTCTGGTAATAAAATTCCCTGAATAGAGATCTTCAACAATAGTATCTTTAAATGTGGAAAGAGCTCTGACTTTAGTCAGCATGTGTCTTCCATCAGTTTCTCTCTTTTTTTTATTTTTAACTTCTTTATTGTATCTTACCACAGCCACCAGGTACAGGCACAAAGTGTAAAAATCCTCCTCACTGGAAGTGTTTTCCACTGGACACAGAATAAACACATTGTGAGGGATTCCAAATGGAAAAAGCTTGGACACGGAGGCCAGTCCTTGCTCGTGTGTATGTATCCTTCAGCACTGTATTTCCTCCTTTCACCAGATCCCCACACCAGGGAGGGAAGGAGCTGCGTTCCAAGATGTGCCTTCCACAGGACTCCTGCTGAAGGCACTTCCCTCCCTGCTCTGCATCACCCACTGCCCATAACCCCTGCAAATGTCTCTCTAAACACTGGAGTGTAAGAACAGCTGAAAATTAGGATTCACTCCAAGTTTACACAGAATGGAGGATAGGGGGCCACCTGACTTTCAGGCAAGTCTAAAAAAATTCATGCCATCATGCCAGAGAGGATGTTGAGCTGTGCCTCCAAACACAGCTGCCACTGTGGGGATTAAAAAAAACAAAACAACCCAGGAGAACACTGAAGGTTACTGCTACCTGAGTGAAATAAATAAACAAAGTATTTAATGTGTGGGATGTAAGGACCCTGTGTATGCAGGCTTTGGATACAAGCAAAGGCAGTTAGGAAGTAGGAGGAGCAGTAGGCTGAAAAGATGATTTAACTTGGCATTCCTACAATGAGGTATTCTTCTCCAGTGTCTGAGTGCCAGCTTGATTTGGGAATGTCACACAGGTTCTTACAATGGGAAATACACTCCTTTGTTAGCAAATTCTTGTTTGAGGCGAGAGAGAACTAAAAGGAACATTATACAGACACACCAAGAGGCCGTTTCTTCTGCATCCACTCCAAAGAAGCAAAAATACTTAAGAATAACTCATGAACCCAGAGACCTCCAGGGCTTAGAAGGGGTTAAAATTTAATGGCTTATTTATAGCTCATACCCTGCTCAGCTAATCCATATTTGCATCACAGAAGTACACAGAACAGCAAAACCAACATTACAGCAAACCAAAGATTGCCCAGAACACTGCTCTTAGCACAGAGGTGGCTATCAAAATACCCTCCCTTAATTCTTGGACTTACCCACAGTGTCACAAGGCTCGTCTTTGTGCACGCAGAAATCTGTCCTAGAAAGAAAAACAGAACAGAAGTGAAATGTATCCTGGGCCTCCAGACTAGGAAAAAGCAGTGGTGCATGACTCACATATCATGGGTGTTGAGGTCTGGGGATTTTGTAAGGCTGCTGTGCAGTCTACATGATGACAACACAGATAGCAGCCCTGATTGCTACTGAGATTTCACGCAATTATGAGAATCAGCCCCACGTACACAGTCCAGTTTAACAGACTTAAGATTCAGCACCTAAAAGAGCCCTGCCTCAGTCAGAGATGTCACACTTATTCCACAACTGGATTAAAACTGAAGCTCTTTCCACAAGAGAATTCTAACAAGAACAAGCAGACACCCTGTGGTGCACCCTAAAAGATAGTGGCAGTAGGAGATGCGTGGGGCACAGCCCAAAGGCACAGAACTAATAATATGTACCCAGAAATTCCCAACTCTTCATTAGAATAGAAAAGAACATGAAGAAAGCAGGACTAAAGACAGATGTTGACATGGAAGAAGAAAGAGAATTTCAGGATTTTCTTGGTAATGGGCAAATTAGCTTCAACTAAATTTATTATTTGCCATGTTATGGTTTGAATCCAACAGAGAGATGTTCAAGAGACTCCATTTGGTTCCCCACATCTCATCAAAGCAGGAGAAGATACTAGAGATGCCAGTGGCACCCATAAATCAACAAGGGATCCATGGATTAAACAGAAACAGAATAAAAGCCTTGAAGCTCACCATCAAAGCACCGACACATCATGTGAGATGATTTTGTACATGAGATTCCTCGTGACAGAAAAACAAGTGTGCGGGGGGAAGTGTTTTATAACCAAATTAATAGCTTGAATACATTTCAACAAGCACTTAGACCAAAGTTTTAGGAGCTCTCTTCATCAGGGCTGCTTTGCAGCGCAATCCACAATGAAGAGGAGCTGCAGAGAAACATCAAATGTGCTAAAATATTTCAGAAGTTCCTGAACCCAAGGGAAGCTGAGGAACTGTAGTCTCTATCACCATGGCTTTCCTCACCCTGGGAGGAGACAAGAGAATCCTATTAGTGCATTTGGAGTGTGCCATTCAAAATGCCTGAGTCCCCATGGGATTTGGGGTTTAAGAGTTTGGCAGGAGGAAGATCAAAAATACTTTGAGAAAGATAAATACTTAGAAAAAGAAAATACTTAAGAGAAATATAAAAATAGATAAAAAGTGCTCTTTCCTTGAAGAAAGTTATGAAACTGGGGTTTACAGGAAAAGGGATTTAAGGCCCAAGACTGTGGCTGACAAATCCAGACCCTCCACACCAAACTCCTTTGAAAACCACAAATCAAGCTGTCAAGGGCTTGGAAGGAGAGCACAAACAGCCATTACCAGCTCTTGTTCAGCAGACATTGAAAACCAACCACGCTTCAATGCAGAAAAACCATAAGAACCATCAAAGTGTTAAAAAATCAGACAGGAACCAAACAAAAATCGGAAGCTATGACCACACACCGGCCCCAGCTTTCATTTTTCACTGCAGCCTGTGTCTCGACACCTTGGCATTCCAGCCTTCCCAAGGAAGACTGATGACAGTCTCCTGACGGAGCTGGCACCAGCGCGCCTGCTCGACTTCCCAGAGCCAGCTTGACAGAGGTTTATTTAAGGACTTATTATGTTATATAAACTGCTAAATCAAACAGATGCTTTTCTTGTGACAACAGATAGCTGAACTATTAGTGGATGGCAGGAGGCCACAGCTAGAAAAGCCTCTCTCTCTCTCCAGAGCCTGTCCAGCCCTGCAACTAATGCACAGAATTTCTGCTCCTCACGCTGTCCCACACCAAAAGGTGTCTGGCACTTTTTGGCAGCCCCACAGAGGAATGACCACCATGCTATTAAATAAGTGGTCTGTAAATGATCCAGCACAACTTGAAGATTCTCCTACAGAGGTAGAACAACCCTTGTGCATGAAGAGAGTGCTGTGATGCTGTTTGGTCAGGGAAGGGCTTGAAGCATATCAGCAGCAGAACTGAACACTGCTGGCAATTCAAGTATAAAACCTGCTCAGCCCATCCTCAAAACTGTCATAAACACAAGACCAAGAGACTCCATCTTCTATTCAAATATATGTACAAAAAGGCCAGGATTTAAACCATCTGGATCATTGAAATTATTTTATCCCAAAACTCTGTGGCCAAACAACAAAGCACATCCAGACTTTTAGTCAAAAACCAGCTCGGTGAGTCTTGGTCTTCTTCCAAAGGCAAGAAGACTCCTCATCACAAAGCCCATTGCTGAAACTCCAGGAGTCCTTCCCTGGCAGTCAGAGGGAAAACACAACATGGAAAGGTGTTCACAATGATCTGTCTCACCTGTGGCTCTGTCACACCAGTGATTTAAATGACCCCATCCTGGCACCTGAAACTAATCTGCTTTTAAAAAGGTTTCAATCGGAGGTGTCTCTCTGGAACATTTTTGAGCTCAACTGCAGGGGTAATTTTGAAGTGAGAACTTGATATGACTGATACTATAATGATAGTCAACAATGCAGAAAAGATACTTTAATATTTATTGCATGTCTCTTATCAGAGAAGCATAGTTCTGTTAGCAGAATTTTTTGAAGAGCTGTGTTGAAATAAAACTTTTACTCCAGGAGCTGCAGTTCAAATCCAACATCTGACCTTCTTTCATGAGATCTTGGATAATATATTGAAATATATTGAAACCACAGCTCTAGCTGTGAACCAGCTTTACTCTTCACTTTTAGCCACTGACTGAATCAAGCAGGACACGAGTTCTCATCCTGTGACCTGTGAAATTCCCAGTCATTATCACGTGTAGTACCCAGCAGAGGTTTCCATTAGCAGAGTACAACAATTCTCCAAAAAATGACAAGAAGTCAGTTGTTTTGTTCAATAAAAATAGCCAGAAGAGCTCAGAACTCCTCCTACAGTCACTCTTCCATCTGGCTCCCACCAACTGGAAAAAAATACCTAACTGTGCTAAGCTAAACTCTGCAATTCAGGTCCTTCCTGTGAGAAAGAAGGACAGTAGTTGAACTGTGCAACAGGAATAAGAAGCATTCTGTTAAGTGGCCATTCCCAGCACCCTTCAAATGTCATCTTTTGACCAGTCTAACCCTGCAGGGTCATAAAGCTAAAGGACAGAGGAAGCTGGTACAGTCCAAAACCTGCCAAAATAAACTTTCCACATCCATAGCTACATTCAGCAGCACTATGTGCCCAGTTTCCTCCATGCACAGTGAATTCCTCCATTTGCCCATTTAATGGGAAGGCAAAGAGCTGGAGAAATGTGGAAGCAAGGATGAGGCTGCAAATGGAACAACCACACCACTGTGTCAGGAAAGAACAAGTCTTTGCTTACAGACAGGTCTGAATCCTGTTCCTGTCAGTGCTGGGATGTTCTTTGCTCTGCTATCACATCACCTATAGTCTAATAGGTGACCCAAACACCTCCAGCCAGGAGCTGGGATAACATCAGTGTGCCTGAAGATTTCCCAGGGAATGCAAAAGACAGAGGGATCAAGAGAGGGAATGTGTTTCAAATGAGACATGCTTCTAAAATCACTAAGATACAGATTCTGCAGACAGAAGTTATTCTGGTCAGCTGCCTGTTAAAATATGAAGTACACTATCCAAAGATGCCAGAGACCTAAATTTCTGGAAGTTCAAAACCAGAACGGGAATGAGAAAAGTCTGATGATTATAGAGACCACAACACTATATTCAGACCTTCAGGGCTGTGACAGATTACTCCCACTGTCTCACTTATTTACTAAGCTGGACAATGCATCTTGTTCCACAGACACAGTGTATCTCTCACCTGGAACTCAGGTGGATACCATTAAAATCCCACAAGAGGGGTATTTGCCACCTAAATAACCTACTTTTGCATACAAATGAGGGTATGGGAAACATCACTTAGAGGTGAAGTTTCAGAATGCAAGCATGCCTTGGTGTTTCAAATGAACCCAGTCAGATTGGAACCAGAGGGATTTCTTCAGAGCTTGACCCCAAAGACTCTGTTTCTAGTCCTTAAAGCAGCTGCAGCTGCTGAAAATTCAGCTTCTGCTTTTTCTGGCGCAACTGCTTGTGCTGGACATGCTGTTGCTCCCACATCCTCTACCACTGGTCCATCTGTACAGTCTGGGGAGGGTCCAGGGACACACACACATAAAAACACACACACATTTCCAAAGGCAAGAAAAATCAATTTCCCTGAAACAGGAATGGGGCTGAAGGCCCAGAAGTCTTCCAAAGAATGCAGCATCCTCCATGCAGCAGGAGCAGAATGGGTTAAGGATGACAGGACACAGCAAGAAGGAAGAAAATACTCCAAGTACACACTGCTGGCCTCTCCAGCAGCAAACATGCTGCTCCTGTGCACAGCTATGTGCTCCTTGGCCTAAGCCTTCTCACCGAAGCTCAATCTGGTTTCTAACCCAACCAAACCTGTACTTTCCCAAATATTCCCACTGCAAAACCCTACAAATCCATTGAACAATTCCTCCTACAAATTCTTTCTACAGTTCTTCCTCAGAAGCCTATGTCCAACACATTTAGCCTGACATTCTGCATTCAGTTTTGAGAGCTGCAGAGATTAAATGCTCTGCTCATTCGCCCTGCCCCATGCTCGGAGTCCATCAGCAGAGATTCTCTCTGCCTCACTTGTCATGCAGGACAACTGGATACCCAGATGAGTTTAACAAAAATGTTAGTTATTTATTTAGGCCCTGATCCAGCGGAGCACATGCTTAACTATAACCAGGATGTGCAGCCTGTTGACTTCAAAGGAACTATTCCCCCTGTCTAAACTGTTAAGTATCTGCACAAGTGCCTGGTGGACTGCAGTGAATACAGAGGAGGGAGCAGGGTTTGGGGGAGCTGCACACACGTCTGTGGAGGAGATTTCTCAGGAACTTGTTGGCTTCATGCCCTACTGACCAGCTCTTTCACTGAACACTCACCAGAATCGCATGGATAGTTTGCAGTGGGGCTGTTAACACAAATCTAACACAAGAGATTATTACAATCAGGATGGCAGTTTATGCACAAACATGTATTTCTGCTTATATTGTTGGCAGTGAAAATAAGTGACAGAGGTGAGTAATATCGACCTGCAATACAGACATCTCAAATTGGGGAAGAAGGGGGTAGGAAGTAGTGTTTTTGTAGCACAATGAGCATCCACATTACACCATAATTTTGAGCTCACTGTAATTATTCAGAGATCACTTCTGTAAAAATTAATACTTGTTTTGCATCTTAAAGGATGCAAAAGACTTACAACACCATGAATTTGCTACTCAAATTTGTACTGTGGGGAACACGTGACTTGCATTGCATTGTGAGTTTGAGCTCAGGTAGTTGGAGAAAAAAAGACTGTTGTCACTACAACACCCTTTTCCTAGCTTTATCTGACGTGTTTTATACACCAGTAAGTTCAGAACTCCAGGGTGCAAAGAATTTTGATCAAATATTTCTACAAAGATCGTTTTACATTTGAAATAAATGCAGGGGTTTTCAAATACACAAACCAATCAGGAATGACACCCCTCCTCTATCTCAGTTGTGATAGAAGACTTGTTAAAGTGGTTATTTCCTTGGGCAAAGAGGGAGAAAATTAATATAGTTTATGGTATTTCTCTCCCTCTTTCTTTAGGAGATAACTCCCTCCCCATCTCCCACTGCTGACACTGTCTGCTCCTCTCAGACTGCTCAGCTGATTCATCTCTAATTGTACACAGAGCACCTGAGCTCAGCTGTGTTCTCAGTTCCACACCTTCTTTCTCCTAGGAAGGAGGGCTCCAAAACCTCCCCTATTTTTTCCACTCCTACCAGCTGGTGTGAGAAAAAAGCTGCCCCCATGCTACAGCCACATCTGATCCTGACTGTGACACAGAACAGTGACCACAACTGTGACACTTTGCCTCAAAAGGAGAGATGCTTCTGTACAACTTTGTTAAGAATGCACAAAAACAAGACAGATGACTTGCATCTGAGGCATCTGAGCAGCAAAGGTATCATCTTTTTCTTAGATTTCTGCTTGACCAGATAACCTCATCACTAACCATGGGCATTACTGGTTGAAGCAAATTGATAAACCCAGACCTTCCCATACCTGGTCACAAAAACAGCAGCATCCACAGGAGGGGTGTCATCCCTGGCACCAGGAACCTGGTTGTTACCAAGGTATTTTGCCCCACCATATTCTTCATTTTGCCACTGACAGAAGCTCTCCAGAGATCTCTCTCCATGATGCCCAATAGACAACTTTGCCTTTAGGGGAAAAAAAAATTAAACAAACAAACAAACAAACAAATAAATAAATAAAATTAAAAAAAATATATATATATATATAAAAAAAGGAGTAATATCAGTCCCAGTCACATCAGAGCTCTCTGTAACAGTTAACTCCAGATTGGTTTGCAGCTACAAGCAGAAAGCTTTACCAGGAAGGATAAATAAAAGGATTCTGGTTCCTTTCACTCCCAAAGCCCCTGTACTTCCCACCTTTAATGCTGCCTGGTGAAGTGGAACTGGCAACTCCTCACAGTTTGTGATCCTGAGGCCAGAGATGGCCCACATCCCCCTCCCACCCTGTGAGACACCACAAAGCAATTCCAGGAGCAGGGGAGAAAGGGATTGCAACTCACAGGGCGATTGTGAAGCAGGACTAGTTTGGTCACTCGAATGTTGACTTTAATTCCCAGGCTTTGATGCTGGAACATGTTGTACACCTGTCAAAAAGCAAAGAAAGCATCTAAAACTTGTTAGTAGAAATATCAAGACCTAGTAATAGGTGAATAAACTAATTGTGACTAAAGTTAGAAATTTCACCTTTTAAAAATTGACACAAAGAACTCCCCAAAATGGATTGTGCTATGACACTCAATAAAATATTTTTAAGGAGGAACTTAAAAAAAAACTTCCTTACTGTAGAAAAGGAGAAAAAATTCCAAAGGAACTCTAAAGATAAAGTCTCAGGAACATGGACATACATTATGAAGCATCCAGCTAACATGGATCTTCAGCATTTAAATATCAGAGATATCTGAATGCAAGATGAAATAATGGTGTGTTTTAGACTTCAGGAAATAGAATGGAAAAGCAATTTCCCTCTGTTATTTTCATATCTTATATAAGAGAATAGTAATAAGGCAGCACATAATGACACAAGCCTCAGGAAATACAAAAATAGCACCGGAAACTACCTTACTACTTTCTCCAGATTTTGCATTCCAGCTCAGATACTTTACCTCATTTTATAGGTTAGAATATAAGATCTTAATTGATCCCAGAATTTTATTCCACTCATTTCTCTGTGTACAAATGTTTTAACTAGACAGTATCAAAAAAAGGTGAGGGAAGGGTTTATTTTAAAAAGGTGTAAAATGACACATAAAAGGCCTTAGGTGAATGTTGTATCAGCTACTTAGTAAAAAAAACCAAAATCAAGACCAGTGAAGAGAGACTCCTGACAAGTGGGAGGCAGGTTTGGCCCCAGGTAAGCAATATTCCTTCCTCACAGCTCGTTTGGCTACAAGCATCACCCAGGCTCAGTAACTTCCTACAGCAAACCCGAGACACGAGCACATCTTGCACATTATGTTTTCAACGCTTGGTATTTTTCCTATTTGTGCAAATACTCAGGAATGTGCTCAGTGGAAGAGTGCTCTGAAGCTCTCCAGTGTTTGGGGTCGGATTTAAGCACACACGTAAATGTTTCCTACAATTTAGGTACAGATTGCAAGACAGAGCTACTCAGTGTTTGACCCAGTGACCTTCAGCTGAGCACAATGAGCCATTTATCTTCCCTGGGGCTGGTGTACAAGTGCACACACGGGCTGGCACTATTTGCTTAGCCTGGGGAAGTGTTGGTAGAGCAGTTCAGACCTCTCACTAAAGACCTGGGGGGGATAAACTTGACATTTGCAGAGAAGGGCTCTGACAGATGATCCCTGTGTAAGTGGAGACCTGGATGTTCAGGTGGGAGGGTCAATGGGGCACCAGGTTGAGAGGGTGAACCCATGGATGGATGGATGTCTTTGGTTTCCCAGCTCTCCACTAGCTCTGGCCATCCCATGAAGTTCCCACTCATGAAATGAGAATAAATCCAGCAAACAGGTCCTTATCATTGAGCCTGGTGAGTGCTGGTGCCTGGCTTCCCATAAGAGCAGTGAAGCTGCCTCCAGCATGGACATATCCAAACACCACTGACTTCCAAAGGCTGTTTTCCCTGGCAAAACTTGCCCACTAAGCACCAGCTGCTGGAGTTCAGGATGTCATCTTGAAAGCTGCCAGCCCTTCCTCCTTTCTCTTGTATTCTCTGTCCTAAGGATAACTCTGACTACACTTTTATTCCCATCCACCAGCAATCTCAGAAGAGCTCAATCAGCAGCAATTGGATACTAAACCAAAAAAAAGTCATTGGGAGTGCAAGAGGCTCCACTTTGCTTGTTTATTCAAGCTTTGTTTGCTTATTTTCTTAAATGAAGCCCAAAGGAGCCCCAGACTGATGGCAGTTTGTATTGCCTAGAAGGAACATTAGCCTTTCCCTCTGAGAAGGAGATCATTTAACAGTTACCAACACACACTTGACTGGGAGAAAATTTAATTTGTCAATTAAAATAATTTGTATGCAGAGAAAAAAAAGATAAATTAAAACACTTCCCCCACCTCATCCTTACTCTTCCATTCATGACTCCTTCCCCCTCATCCAGATCCATGCAGGTGGATGGGGAATGGGAACTGTCCTCAGCCTGGAACAGGTCTCTCTGGGCTCCCTCCTCACACTTTTTCCCTGTTTCAGTATGGATCCTCTCCATGGGCTGCAGTTCCCATCAGGAGAGCCTGCTCCAGCACAGCTCCTCTATTCAGGTCACAGTGTTGGGAACAGCCTCCTGCCCTGGTTTCCCCACAGGCTGGACAGCAACCTCTGCTCCAGCACCTGGAGCTCCTCATCCCCCTGCTGTGACCTGTGTGCTCACATGGATTTTTTCCCCACTTTTTTCCAGTATTTCGCTTTTCCTCCCTCTTTTGAAGACGTTTTCACAAAGGCACGCCCAGCTCTCCTGACAGGCTCTGCTGTGCCCCGTGGTGAGGGCTGGGACCATCCATGTCTGGCACGGGGCAGTTCTGGGTCTCAGCCCCACCACCAGCTCACCCACACACTGTCCTTACAGAGGGAAACTTCTCTCAGATCATGGGCTTTAAGGCTAGAAGGAATCCAATGGAGAAGGCAAACAGACTTTTAAATTACTTGATAAAAAAGAGATGAGTCTGATACAGCTCAGGTTGTTCCCAGCTGCATTTAAACCAGGTAGGCTGTGTCCAAAGGAAGCATCATCACAGAATCCAGCTGAATTTAAAATACAATAATTCAAATACAGGTCTTTCCTGCTAAGAATGGAATTCCATCATGGCAGCAACAAACTTCTGCCTTTCTCACCCAGCCAACAAGAAAACCAAACCCCAGAGACTCGGCGTGTCCAAGCTGCTCAACACCACATCCAAATGTCCACCAGCAGCACGTGCCAAGTGAGGTGGCTGGGATAACTGGTACCAGGGGATGAGGAATGGGATTTCCCACTGCAGATGTTCTCAAGATTTCCTGCTGCACGGACAGAGAGACTGACTCACAGACACCTCCCTGCCCACTCCCAACACCATGGGCCACCCCTCCTCAAGCCTGCAATTGCATCACACCCATCAGGCTGCTGTGAATACTTCCAACAGGGGAAAAGTAAAAATATTTGGGTGGTTTAGAACCTTTTAATAAAATAAGGCAGCTGGGAACAGAAGTATCAGCTGCATGAAACTTTGCCATGGAACCAAATGCAAAGGGTACTTGTTTAGGACATCACCAGAAGTGGCAGAAAGCAACTTGGATAGAAAAGAAATGGAGGTTCTGGATCACTGGGATGAAAGGAAGGGATGGGAAAAGTGGTCAGTGTGACTGAAGTATTGTGGGTGCCCTGCTGCAGGTGAATTTCTCTGTTTGAAGTATTTGAAGTATTGACTTCTCTGTGAGGAGGCATCAAAAGACTGAGCTCTAAAAACAGGAGACATGGTAAAGAACTCTACAAAACGGCAAGAAAAAATGGAAAGGGAAGTGCAGTAGAACAAGATTAAAGCCTGTCTCTGGCATCTTCTCCTTCATCTGCATTTATCTGACAGATCTTAACTGTACAGAATACCCAAAAGAAAACACGAAAGCTTGAAAGCTGGACCATCCTTCTCTGTTTGCATTCCTACTGCCTCTTTCTCCTCACAGCTCTGACATGGAAGGGGCAGAACAAATGCAGTTTTGGCATAAGCTGAGCAGGCCTGCCCCAGCATGCACAAAGCAAACACAGACATAAGGAATTGGGCTGAGAGAGGAACTACACGACATAATTCTAATTTTTTTTTTTTTTAAATTCTCAAGAGCTTCCTCTGCAGGTGGATGGTGGGAGGGAGACGTGTGTGTTTCAGATGTTTTGGAGTTCAGAACAGCAACCCTGAGGATAAATTGACTTTTTTTCCCCCCTTTTTTTCTTCCCTAAGCACTGCATTCAAGCAGAAGCCTTCCCATTGCCTTGGCTGCTGGATGAGGTTTGGACAGCAGAAGCCTTAGTCAGGTTACTGAGGTTGTCTTTCTCTTGTTTTGAAAAGTGCTATAGGATTTCTAACACCCACCTAAAGCCAAGCTTTCAAATTACTCCTTTAAACATTATGAAAAAGAACATATTCATAGCTCTTTATAAGATACAGTTGACATAACTTCTTCTCCTGGGGCCGCTGGAGCAAAAAGAGAAATCTGTAGACAGTGATGAAACACTCAGATCCTTTTCCCTTATGTTCCCTTATATCCCTGTTCCCATCATGAAAATTCCAGACCAGGGTAAGGAAGCTGATTATCAGTGGCAGCTCTGGAGCCTTTATGTGCCAGCCCCCAAGAGCACAGACATATATATCCATCAGTGCAAGCACGATAAAAATGATTTTATCTGCTTTTTTAACATTAAAAAAAAACCCTCACAGGGGAAATCCAAAATGAAAAACAATCTGTGGAGCATAAAATCAGGCTTCAGAGAGTAAAACAGTATCATTCCTAAAGAATAACATAAGAATTTTCCCTCTTAATGACATCCAAAAGATCACTAACTTCAAGTTCCTGCTTGCTGTTGCAAAGAGCTTCCACAGTAATCGCATGGCTTAGCAACAGCTGCAGGAGAACTGACACACACTGAAGAAACTCTCCTTCCATACTGCACTCTCAGAGAAAAAGGCAAGCTCCAAACCAAGCCACAGTTGTAATTTATTGCAAAACCCAAAAAAATACACTGAGGGGACAAAAAAAAAAACCAAACAAACCCAAACCAACCCAACAATTTTTTTTAGGTTTTCAAACCCATAGAAAGCAGCTGTTAAATGACTGTGTTGTGGTCTTGGAAATTCAGAAACTCAGACGTCTCTGTCTAAATGCTCAGAGCGTCAGTCTGGGTGGGACATGGTTTGCAAAGTCAGCTCTGCACTCTGCAAGGAGCCAACATCCACAACTCATTGTTCAGGGCCTGGCTGAAAACAGTCACTCCTCATCCTCAGTAACACAACAGCCATGGACAGGACTTTCCAAAGGGTCTCATCCTCACTTATCACCATATGAAGCAGTTACCTCCAGAACCATTTGAATCAATTCTCTCTGGAAAGCTGAAAAACTAAACCATGAGAACCAGACACAGCAGAGACCAGTGCAGCTCCTGGAATCTCCTCTTTCCTTTACTGGTCACTTTCAGATTAAAAGCAACCACAAGAGCAAACAAAAGCATAAAACTCCTGCAAGAACAAAACATCCATCCTAACAGCTCCACATGGAAGAAATGCACTGAGAAATTAGTTGCCAGCTGCAGACTAACAGAATGGGTGAGAAAGTAGATATGTTTTAAAGCTCGATTTACCACAAAGGCACTTGGGTTTGGAGTTCAGAGGAAGTTCTAAACACTGGTGACTACAGAAGGAGGACATGAACAGGAGATGCTCTCAGGCCGAAGGTGAGACAAGAACTGGAATGCAAACACTGCAACAAAGCTCAATAACAAGGGAGTTGAACTTAGGAAAAGAGATCAGCACCTATATTTAATTAGGTGGTTTTGCATTTCCACAGCTCCACTGGTACTTCTCCCTGTCCAAGTTCTTCCATTCCTCATGCCCACAGTCTCACTGCCTTGCTAAGGCTGCAGCTGTGCATGGTGGCATTTGACAACAACTTTATCACCTGTTTGGAAAATCCTGCTGAATCAAACATCTTGCCAGAAAACAAGAAAAGATTTCTTTTTAGCAGTGGTGACTTAAAGAAAGCCAACTCAAACCCCTGGAGCAGTGCTTGTTCCTACTCATACATTACAGAGCACCTTAGAGGGAAATTCTTCCATGATCTTGGAAAAAGCTGTCTTATAATTTCAAGTATTAGTTTAGTAAATGGAAGAGTCTGCACCTCTACAGTGACATTCACAAAAAGCAAGTACTTGTAATGTCAATCTATTCTCTGTTCAGGGGGATGGGACTACAGAACAACATTAAAAACACTACATTTGCTACATGAAAGTGCTACCTGTTATTTCTGGGTTCCAAAACGGGTTTGCTGTACTTTTTAGCTGTTATTCTAGTAGAGGGTGGTGTGTTTTTTTCTCTAAGACTCTCATTTACCAAGGGAGCAATAAACTCGTATTTTGTAATGCTAACTTTTTTCCCCTTCAGAAATTCTTGTAACATAAATAGATATTAAATACTTTAAGGCAGATCACTTTATTTAAAATGTCTATAAATATAAAATTCATTAATAAGACCTCTTAATGCTTGTTTTGTGGTTTGACAGTAAACGTAATGGCTTACAGAGAGGAGTTAAGTTAATATACCCCTGACCAGTAATGTTCTATTTGCTTAAATGCAAGCATCCAAGCCAAAATTAACATTCTGGTTTCTTTTAGAGGCAGCCTGCCATCCTGCAGTATAGCTGAATAAGCACTGCCTAATATCATGGGGCAAATCCTCTCCCCCAGCTAACAGTCACTCAAGGCTGACAGGGAGGCAAGAAACAAAGATCTCAAGCAGTCAAGAGCTTGGCTAAGGCCTCCACAAACTACATGATTATCTCTGAAATACGTTTTTCTGAACTATCCTTCAGCTTCTTTTCCTGGGATGAAGGTCAGCTTTCATTGCACAAATGTAACATTGAAATTCCCTTTGATTTCCCTGAATTTCACCTGGTTTTATTGCTATAGAATAAAGGATTTATGCAATGATGCCATCTATGTGTTTGCCTATTATTATTCCTCACTATTTTTTGGTCTTGCCAGTCACTCTCAAGCAGCTTCCTTCAGAGGCCTGAAAAATGTTCCTAAGAGCGTGGGAATGTAGGTGGCCAAGGGAGAAACTCTCCCACTGCTGCTCTGAAGGCTGAAAAGCTGAAACATGAATTCAAATCCTATCAGACATCAGAAAAAACTCACACGAGTGAGCCCCCAGGAGCAATGACTTAACAGTGGGAAGCATTTCAGCTGGACCTTGCACCTGAGGAGATGTCACATGAATGTGTTCCTCATCCAAGAGTCCTTTTCCATGTGCTCTCTCCAGTGTCTATTAAAGGGGTGAGCTCACACTACAGCATCAGAACCAAGCTTAAAAGCCCATCAGCCTAATCCATTGGAAACTAACCTTCAATATTTTCTTAATAAATGGGTTTAGAGAACCCAGCCCATCTATGAGCATCTTCCCACACTAATTTATTCACACCTCGCAAGCTGATGCTGCTGAGACGTTTTGCAGTTCCTTATCCTGGACAGACAACAGGATTCAAAGATCCACAGCCATCTTTTGTTTAAGACTTGGTCCATCAGTGTGTTCATCCCTAACAAGTTTCACAGGCTGAAAAAGCTGCACAACACAGAGATCCCCAATGGCCACAATGAAATAATTGACCTGTTGGCATGAGGATCATCAGAAGTAACTGCAGAGCCATCGTGGAGCCCCATTAAGTGACAACTGTCAGAGCACACTGGGAGGCAAAATAAAAGGCAGAGGAAGGGACACAGAAAAGCAGCTCATTAATGGAAAAGACTAATCAAACTCCCTACTCAATCAGCCTCCAGGAGGGCTCCCTCACACCAGTGCTTGATGAAGGAACATAAGACCTCTTAAAAAGCTGCTTTTCCATAGCTGGTCTATGCTGAGCATCCATCTCTTCACTGGGAAGCATGACCAGGCAATTACTGTTCAGAACTGCTATTTTTTTCCCAAGCCAATTTGCTGCTCATAAACACCGACAGAGGCACAGTGAGGAGAATGAGCTGTTCCTGGATATTACAATAGCATGGGCAAAGGACTATGAGCTTCCTCCAAGACTTTCTTCTGCAAATGCCTCTGCAAGGACCCCTGCAGACTCTGAGCAGAGTTTTCCATGTCTCTATCCAATTTAGCCATTACCTCCCTACTGGCACTGCCAACAACTGAGTGAGCATTCCCTGTGGGAGGCTTTGTGTTCCCTTATCAGCTGAGACAGAAGGCGCCACTACAGGGACACAAATTAACATCCACACTTCCCATGAGCGTGCAATTTTCAAAGGTTCCCCTCACTCCCAAAAGATAGCCTTAGGATTTCTAGAATGATTTTTAAGTCAAACTCCATCAACTACTCATAGGTATGATCAGCACCACTTCATGCAGCCCTAGAGGTTCTGGGGTGAAAAAAGTGGGATCAGCCAGAAGTTTGATGGTAAGTTTGCCACATTTTCGACATCAAGGGAAGCAGCCATTTTCATTGTGCAAAAATCAGAGATAAAAATCATTTTGGACTTAAAGCCAGATCTTCTGCTAGAAATCAATATGACTGCTAGTTTTAACTGCCTATAACAATGACCCATATCTCTTGTGAAACAGGTGTTCCATTCAAACATTGGAATCTTTAGAAACCCAAGAAAGATGTCAGACAAGACCATCTGTACACTGTGGATTACCCTCCTCCAAGGTAAACCACAGCAGCACCAAAAGCCTGGTCGAAAACACCACTCCTGAGCAACTGTTTCCTAAGTGAAAACTTGCATTTTCAGTTTTTAAAAATGGGTTTCTATTGTGGCAAATACCAGGAATAACACACATGGAGAAGAGGCACATAACACAAGAAAACCAAAACCTTTTCTTGTATCCAAAGGTCAAAACAGTTCTTGATTTCTTTCTACTGTCAAGTCAGCTTTACCCTAACCTGGATATGTCCTGCTTACTCTTGTTTCCTCTTTTGAGAGTAAAGTGCCTACTTACCATATTCATAACTGTGAGGATGAACCTCTGGGCAGCCTCTGCTCCGTGGTACTGCACCATGTCAGCATCTGCCACCACCAGTGTCTCCACCGTGTACTCGCTGGTGAGGCGAATCGCGTTCCTCCTCTCCCGCCAGTCACTCGTGGACTTCACTTTCTTCTGTCTCTTCTTTTCTGGAAAGTCAAAATACCTTTTAAGGCTGGCAGATCATAATAAAACACTCCCAGCCTTTTCAATGAACATTCTCGTGTGTATTCGGATTGTAACAACCTTTAAAGTGCTCTTGGCCGGTTAAAGAAGCCACCAAGAGGTTCCATTGCAGGTACATCTGTGCCTCTGGGTGCAGAGAGCAGCAGATGATGTGAAAAGAGGGAAGTGGATTGGAAAAAAAGTTCAAGTAAAAAATTTAGTATTTCAAATCAAAATGTTTCAGATAAGTTAAACCTCCCTTCCTCCCAACTAAAGGACTGATGTATTAATATTGTCTTCTTCTAAGCTGAAAGGTGATGTGCAAAGCATCATAGGCATGACCAAAGGAGAAATTAAGTTCAGATATTAATTCAAACCTGCTCACTTCACTGCAGCCACAAAATTGTGTTCATGCTTTCAATTGTAAAAATAAAGAAGCTAATGAAATAATTAAAACAAATTTATTCTTGCAATAAGAAGCAAACTTCTAAGATTCACTGAAATTACCTCTGCCTACTGTTCAGCCTGTGATACACTATGGATGAGATACTGACACTGCTATTACTATTAATTTTTTCCAGTGGAAAAGGGAACAGAACACACAAGTTCTGAAACAGCACAAATGCAACATTCAGTGCAAAACTGACATGGGACAGTTCCTAATGGATGATCAGACAAATCCCTCTTATGTCACACAACATGTGCTGCTCATTCCCTAGAGCAGAGAATCACTTTTTAATTTTCTCTAGATTTAACCTGAGACCCTCTCTGAGCAAAGCAGCAGCCAGAGCTGAGCTGGTGTTCACTGATCCTGATTTTCCACAGCCTGTTTACCAGCTCCCTGACATAATTCAGTCTGAATTTCACTTCTTTCCCAGACCATCAGTTTTCCCTGACTGACCCTCCTGCACTCAGGGTGACAAACTCCATCAGCTGCAAGCCCCTCAAAGCCCACCTGAAATGGACTCCCTGCCTTCACCCATTCATGCATTTTCTGCCTTGTCAATAAGCACATTTCCACATGTCCATCCCATCTTCTCATTCCCAGTTTTCTTGTAGTCATCCAGTACAACTCTGCACGTGCTTTTCTGCCCAAGGCATCAACTGTCAACACTTGGTACATATTTTAAACTGAGAAAACAACCATGAAATTTGATTTGATTTTTTTTTTTTTTTTGAGAGAGAGAGTTTGGAAATATCCCCCTGGGTTGAGAGAGACAGACAGGAGTCTATGGACAAGAAAAAAAAAAAGAAAATGTGAGGTGATCATAAATAATGGAAGCTACATGCCAGCAGCAAAGATGAAAATAACCAAGTTTCCAGGGCTGTTTTCACATGAGCTGCAGGATAGCTACAGAAAAACTGCACAATCATAGAAAAGCTGCCACAGAGCAGAGGATCTCTATCATAAAAATAAAATTAAAAAGATTGACTATACAAGAAAGGAGAGTTGTTTGCACCTTTGATTTGCCAACTGTGAGATGGAGATGACTTCAAACTCCCGTGGAGCAGCTCACATGTTTGTGTTTTATTTTGTTCCTTTCATTCCATTCATTTCCCATCCCTCCCTCTGCACAGCAGCACTTCTTTAGCTACAGGTCCTCAACATTATCATTTAAATACCAAGAAGAAATCAAAGATAAAAGAAAATAATATGAATTATTTTAATAAAAACATTGACATTTTGGGTCTTACTGCTATCAATCAGAACCTTCCTGGAAACAGCAGCATTTCCCCATCAAATTCTTATTTTGGCAATCCCCTAATAAATGTTTCTAGGTGGTATAAATCTCTTACCTGTAGAGAAGTTGCTGTTATGGGGGAGCTAAGCCTAGATTCAACTAAGTCTCAGCTTGGCATTGAATGAGCTGTGTAAAAAAGTTTAAGTGGAATGAAAAAATTAGAGTTCTCTGGGTTTTCACTTTAAAAATCTCTTTTTTGGTGGAAAAGAAGACATTTGTATCAGAGGAGGAACCCACTCTGCTTGCAGTTGGGGGAGAAGAGGTCATGCCATGGTCATTTGCCAGTGTGGTCCCTCCTCCAGAGGCAGATGAAGGAACTGGCACCTCTTTGCAGCTGAACAAAACTCTGCAAGGTGTGACTTTTGGAGAGCAGCAGCCTAAAGGAACTCCTGGCAAAGGGCTGGGCAGTCTTGGTTCACACACAGCCTCTGGCCCCCTTTCCTCCTGTGGACTGGCTGCTTTCCACCGAGGGGCTGGGATTAGAGGATGTGTGTGGAAAAGCAGCACCCCACAGGCTGCCTGGAAACGCAGCCAGAGTGATCTGACAGGGGAATCCAGGTTCTTGCTCTTACCCTCACCTTCACACTGTCCAAGTGTAAATTTACCTGCAGTTAAAACAGGCAACAGGACTCAAGGGAACTCACAAAGAGCTCAGGTGGTCACTGCTGAACCCTCCAGAACAGGCACCACAACACCAGCTACTTAAAAAATGAGAGGTTTTTCAAATTTGTAGTTCCTCCATAGCGTGAATTATTTTATCCTTTCTGTCCACTTTCACAGTCTCTCTTTGCATCCTCCTGCCTACCACAAATGCAAATAATTTTCCAGAATAATCAAGCGCATGAAGAAAACAAGGCATTTGCATGGATGAAGCATAACAAAGAGAAAGGAAATGCACATGCCCTGTATCACAGATGTTTGATGAAGAGGACGATCCAAAACCAGCAGGAAAAATCCTCATTCAGTGCACTTGCAGCTCATACCTGAAAGTGAGCCAGCTTTACGGAGGTATGCAAAAACAGAAATACCCCATCTCTAGAGCCTCACTTCAGAAACAAGCCAGCACAGAGAAGTCTCATTCTTGCCCTGCAAGATTTATGGACCATAGGCACAGAATCCCTCCATGAGTACACGAAACCCCGAACTAAAATAAACATCAGCCATTAAAACAAGGATTAAATGCTTGGTGGATTCTTTATTTGAACAAACTGATGTTACAAATTTTATGGTGCAGATGTTTAAGTGTTAGTGTGAAGGCATAAGAGGCCATAAACCATGGGCAGGAGCTGTCAGAGGAGTTTACACTGCAGGGAGCACACAGCACATGATTTTAGGAGTCAGGTGTTCCCTGCTTAAGAGGTCAGAGAATTTTGTATGAAATATGAGCTGAAACAGTCAATCTACAACACAGCATGTACATGCTGCAGGTGACTGGGCACAGGGGACATTACTCTTTGGCCAGTCACTCTGACAGTATGTTATACAGTCTATTGGGCCAAAATATCCACAGAATCCAGGACTGTGAGGCGAAGGGAGAAGGGTGAGACACCCCCAGATCCTCAGCAAAAAACTGCTGTGACACTGCACAAGTTCATTAGGTGACTTTCATTTACCCTTCCCTGGCTTATCACCTTCAAGGCCACATGATCATACCACATCCTGCAGTCTTTGAAGTCTCCCTCAGAATGGGAAGAACCAGAGTCCCCACTGTGATCAGAAGCACAACAAGGCTCCTCTGAGGCCTCTGTAGAAAACTCCTGACGTTCAGTGCTTTTTATGGCAACTCAACAGATGTGCAATTCCAGAGCAACCGCCCCAAATGACCTTTTCCTATTACACACCAAAAGCACTGTCTAGCACTGTCTGGCTTTTGGCAGATTCTTGCTGTAAGTGCAGAGTCCTTTCCTGTTCCTCCTACCTCCCTTCCAACTGTATTTCCCAGACTCATCTAAAAGCAACCTCTTCTCCTACAGCCTTCCACTATGTTTTCCTGCCTAATCTTCCCCTTTGTAATTTTAGCTACCTCATTCTTGTTAAACCCACTGACAGTTTCTGGATGCTGTTCAACAAAAGCCACAAATAAAAGTTACACTGCTGAATCCTTTCTGCAAGGTCAGGTTTCTCCTTAGAAGTTCTTTTCTATTGCTGCCTTAAAAATCCTCTCCAGCTCTTCCTCAGGAGCCCTTTGCTCCCTTCCCTCCTCCCACAATCCCTGTAACATCTCCACATAACCTTGATGGAGGGCAAGCTCTGTTTTACAATGTTCTGTTACTTCAGCAGCACAAAAAGGAAGAGAGGGTATCCAAGTAGGGCAATGACAAACAGCTAAAATTAATTCTCCCTAAGCCCCAGGAGTTTTCAGAGAACCTCTTGCTGGTACTCACATTAGACAGGTTTTATTAGCTTCACCTAAAAGTAAAAATCATCACCTCTCCAAAGCAAAACAGAAAAAAAAGGGAGATCCTGCACACAAACCAAGCCTAGAAATTAAAGACAGGAAGTAATTGAGGTGTATTTTTATTACTCAACCTAAAACCCTCTGTCACTGCTGAATTATCAGAGAGACAGGATGCCACAAAATGTCCCTGGTACCAGCAGCAGGACAGAAGCACTCCTCAAAGGATGATTAACCCCAGACATGGCGCCCCTTTGCCTCTGCCAGGATACTGCACAGAAATTATCTCTGCATCCTGGCCTGTTATTTCTCCACCAAAAACCCTGGATTTTCAGATTCACAGCCAGGTGATGCCAGTGGATTGCCTGAAGTTCAGGAATTACAAATGGTTGCGCATTGAAAGAACAGCTGATTACAGACTGAGAGCTGTCCTCTCATTTTTAATGCCCAGTCCTACAAAACTCCATCTTCAATTTCTCTCTGACTGGAATGGAGGACAAAATCAGGCATCAACTGCTAGGAAAAATTACTGCAGAGCAAAATGATCCATTATTCCATAATTCACTTCCCAAAAATGGTTTTGTTTTGCTTCGGGGTTTTTTTGTTTATTTTTTTTCTCCCAAACAGCCACTTTCATACCAAATCACAAGTTCATGACTATTTCTCTGGCACAGCAGCAAACAACAACTTGAGACAGAAGTCATGAACTCTGAGCTGCATCTCAAAACACCACTGAGATTTTACTGCAAGGATTGTTATCCAAGTTAGTCTGTGGCTTGGACACATCAGTTAAAACCTTATTCTTCTACAAAACAAACTCAGTCATCAACACAACTCATCAGGACTT